CGATCTCCCCAATGGATTGATTTAAGAGCTATGTCTCCCTTGAGGTTCGGGACCCGACTAGATTACGACCGAGATATGGGGGTCTTTGCGCGAGTTTCTCGCTCCCTAAGTTGAGCTCGGTCTCAGAGATCTTCGGAAACTCGATATGATGTTATTTAGGGCTTCGGTCGCCTTAGTGAATTATTATCCGAGCGAGATGCTTTGTTGCGATCGTCCCATTGTGCAAACGTCCTCTTCAATCTTACACGATACAAAGAAACCCCACGACCGGGCCAACGAGGCGAGGGCAGCGCATTCGACGTCAAGAGACCCTCTAAAGCCCTTCGCGTCCACCGTCCTGAAAACGCGGGGTGCACTCAATAATTAAACCGCATTATGGTCTCATAGAGAGGTCGCGTACATGATTCAACGAAGGGATTCGCCCCCTCGGTCCAAGCTCGCGCAGGGCCTCAACGGACATCAGTTCCGGGTTTGTAGAGTGGCCGCGACGACCACTGCCACACTAATGGCCCAACCCGATGGTGTTCGAGTTGAAGAGAGAGAGAGAAAGAGTTGAACGATGTCAAAAGACGGATATCTGATCGTTGTCAGCTTTTCATATCGCTGAGCAAGCAGATCATACGAAACATCGTCGTTGACACGATGACATCTCTCGAAAACCTTGTATCGGTGGCCTGCGGCCTGTGAACGTTTCGAAATGTCCCGCCGATGCCTGGTAAGCTTCTCTATGGTGGCGTGCATCGGAGCTCGGTGACGAGCATTTTTCCGATTCTAATCTCTGTTCCCCGTTCCGAAGGAATTTTTTCTCGCTGTTCGACTTCGGATTCTCCGACCTCCGTGACTATCTTGAAAGTCGCCTTCGATCACGCTCCACATGAGGTCCAGATACGGCTCTCTCCGTATGAGTGAGAAGGTCAGCGTAGCTCGACGTTGCGGTAGCGGCAGAGAGGCCAACTAGGCAGACCGTATTGAAAACTAGGTGAAGGCCTCGCCTGCCTCATATTCGGATCCCTTTGACACACATTCGGTGGGTGGCCAGCTATGCTTTTGGAGGCGCACCACAGCGGTTCCACGGCTGTGGAGTCTAGCCCGTGAAGGCTCCCGACCTCCCCAAGTCTACGATAAGCGTCCTTGAAAGTAGGCTCATCGAAAGTCCATAAACTAATGCGAGTTTAATAATTCAACAAGACATTGTAGAGGATCAAATTCAAACATAGGAGGCGGGGACCTGGAGTGATCCGGGATTTTTTACGCGAGTTGACGAGCCGAATATGTAGGACTCGCTTATCAGTTTGGAAAGTTCGCAAGGTGTCTCCTCTTCTGGGAATCGCTGTCTCGGGGTCGTTTACCAGATAGAAGAGACCCGCCGAAGAATCGAGAAGCCGCCCACGGACCAGACGGGGTCGGCTGACAATGAGCTCGCTCCTTCTCCCCATTTTGTTCTATGAGCCATGCAGCCGGCCCTCCATAGGAGTCTGCTGCTCATGGTGGGAGCTGTCGTCTGCAGGCGGAGATTCTTCATCCGCCCTCGTCTTGGTGGCCACCGCTCCATTGGAATTCCTCCAGCGACGGCGTTCCTTGCCCTGAGCTTCTCAGACGAGCCTCAGTTTGCTCATGCCATGTCAGACGGAAGTCAAGCCCGAGTACGATGAGAATTGATTGAGAATTCGAGCGAAAAAATGGATGAACGCCAGTGTTGCGAATTGGAAAGAATTGTTTTGAATATTTGGAGTTATTCTCCATCAAATACTGAATATACTTCGTCTTACTTCTGAGGAGAGACATCGTTCAGGAGGAAACTTCTGGAGTGCTTCCCGCTCGGACGATCGAGCTTGTCATGTATGATCGTGTCTTCCCACGAGAGCAGGATCTCTGATTGTTGAAGTTCATACCTTCCGTGGTCTCTGAAAGTATTTTATTCTTTTACTCGTTCGTGGGAGCCGTCGATTCCCTCCGAGCATGAAGAGATCGGGATCCAGGGACCCTAATTCGTTGGGAACTTGCTTGAGACAACGATTACCATCTGTCTTCTCGATCTAGAGAGTCTTGACTCTTTAGTGGAAAGAAATACTACCCGCGTGCTCGGATTCCCTCGACGCAATCGTTCTCGAGTGAAAGGCTCCTCGCTCTCCTCGGGAAAGTTCGTGGTCCGATTGATGAGCTCCTCTGATCCGACTTTGGCCGATTGAAGCGTCCCTAACTGTAGACGCTCGTTTGCCGGTCGCGCAGGCTCGTCACCGGAGTCTCCCGGATGGAGGAGAGTAAGACGAAAAGTCCCCGTTGACGAGACGGGAGATCCATGCGGGCAGACGTCAACCTCGCCAGACTCATGACTAGCCCGTCAGAAACGACCGTGTTCAGAGACTAAAGGAGCAGTCATCAAACAAATGAACTTCTATCAGACGTCTCCATGCTCCGGGGGTCCCTTATGATCTATAATACTCTGGCTACATGACATCTCCGCTGGGCACGGATAATTTCTTCAATATGCGAATCAATATCAATTTCCGGTAATGAATTTGAGCCGCATCGTGCAGGGCAATCCGGAGGGTCGGGATCCACCGGAGGAGTCCGACGACGTTGACGCTTGTTGACCCGTGAAACACTCAGCCCCTTGATCGTGCGACGTCGCGTCGTCGAGCTAAGCTCTACGCTCCCTGGGGACCGAATCACGTCGACACGGATGCTTGCATGCGTGCAGTATAAACAGAACTCGGCACAGAACTCCAGTCAAACGAAAATAAACGCGCCGGCCCAGAGGGATACGGTTGAACAGCGGGCCCGCCAGACCTCGAGAAGACATTCTTCGCTTCCGATATCCTTCAAGGTCGACGTGATGACGACGCCGACGGCCTCGCGCATTTGCACAAGCACTGACTTGTGGACGTGCTCGTATTCAGGTCACCGAACTTGTTCGCAGGCGCCACAATTCACGACTTGTCCACCTTACGGGAGACTACGACTTATTCAATAAAGATACGCGGCGTTAATGGCCGAGAACTCTGACAGCACGAGCTTTGCATTTCAACTCGAGCTCGCTCGGCTCCGGAATCGTTCGCAGCTTCGATTGGGGAACTCTCGCGGACAGTGATGATGAGGGCCCTGAATTGGGGGCTCGCTGTTTTCTAAGTCATCTTTTGTGAGGAAGGCAGCCCGAGTCCCGACCCCCCACAGGAGGCTTTCGGATCTTATTGCTTCCCAAGACCGATCCAGTCCTTCGCCTGCATACGGTCAGGGAATGCGGAAGATATACGCTCCTTCATTTGCGTATATCATCCGCGATGATGATTTCAGAGGCTATCTGACGTGACCACGAAGCCGCAACAGAAAAGCATGGAGCCTTAATAGAAATAAGCATGCCAGAACTGAATAACGATTCGAGAGTCTCGCGGCAGCGAATGCTCATTGGCTGGCTTCCTTATTCGGCTAATTATTCATTATCTTCAATATCCTTGAGTTCTGACAGAGTCTGCTCCACAAAGCTCTCGTCCGAGTCCGTTGCCCGCCGCTCGAAAGATCTCCCGTGGACTCCGCTTTCCTCCTTGGGGATAATGGAGCGAACCTCCCGGACAAAACCACGAATGAGCACAACATTCGACACTACGGTGTCGAGGATTCGACATCGGCTCGACGTCCTCCCAGAATTTACACATGGTGCCGATCCAGACGGGGAACTCCCCCACGAACACGAGAGAACTCCAGTCGGAAGAACAGAACGACGAGGAGTGGTCAGCAGAATGCAATAAGCGGTCGGTGCGGGATCATAAAGATCGAGATCATAGAAGAGGGCGAAATTATCCGAGATAGGGAGCGAGCCCCCAGTTTGAGCTGTCAATGACCCCGAGTAGCGAACCGATCGAAAGAAGTGGATATCGCACCTACCATACAGTGGGTCGGCAGCTGATGTTTCAGGAAACAATGTCCCTCAATGGACGTGCTCACCACGGAAACTCCAAACTTATCACTCGATCACCACGAGAAACTGCTGTGTATACGGTCTATAGGGACCATTGGAAGCTATGTAGCAGCGAATAGATTGAAGTAAACAAGTAATCGTATGACGAGGTCATTTCGATTGCCGTCTATTTCACTTGATTCGCTCGACGCCCGCCGTATACGGAGATAGCTACGGTCAGAGAATATTTTTTCGGCCTGAATGTCGGTCAGCCGCAAATCCATCGAAAATACGGCGTCCTTTGATCGAGTCACGATTCACGATTACCGTATCGTTTCCGGCAGCTCCTTCCTGCAACTCCTACGCGCTCGAACGCAGACTCGCAGCCGAGTCGACGAAAATTCGTTCTCGAGAGCGAATCCGGGATTCCGTGTCCTATGTACTCGTGTAGATGAGAACATCTGAGAAAAATAAAGAAGAAAACCCGAATCGGGTCACTCTCGTCGTAAATAAAATCATATCGCTCCTAGATGACGATTAAATGCATAGCCAAGTCTCCGGATTGCTTCCGCGATCTTGGTAATCGCTCCCGCTGATGACGCGGAAGCATTATGCCCACGGAGCATATTGTTCTGTCGGTCACGCTGTATTTTATGTTCCGCAAACAAAGAACCCTCTGTACCAATGTGAAACCCATGCGAGCAAGCCGAGCTACCGAGGGTCGAACCTTCTCGTCGCAAAACCATTTCAAAAAGGCCGACCCGGAAGAAATCGATTCGCTCAATAATCACAAGTCCAAGTTTTGATCTTCGACGTGGGCGCGTTCCTACGGTCGCGGTCACTCGCACTCTCCTAGACCCCTTCCGCTCTATCAGGACCCTCCCGAGCGTGTATCAAATCCTGGCGCATTTCGGAAAATAAATCGTTCTTGATTTTCCGACCGCTTTCGGGTCACGACGGCCCTCGACATCCGTGACACATTCGAGTCAACTCGGGGCAACTCCTATTGACGCCGTTTTCTAAAGTTCCCCATCGATTCTTGAGCGACACATGGGTTCCGCGCGTCTGTTGACAACAGGATAACTGACTCTTTGCCTTCCCACAGGAGTTCCTCGATCAATTCGGATACACGAAGGAGGAGCTAACGGCCAGATCCTCGGTAGCGTATCTCGAGTCGTCGGAGGATCCCCTGGCCTCTGCGATACGTCGACTCCAAAGCTTCGCCGGCATCCCTGTGACGGGCGAAGTCGACAATGAAACTCTCGATCTGATGCGGAAGCCCCGATGCGGAGTCAAAGACATAGATTGGTCTCGGGAAGGCGTAAGGAAAAAACGCTACCTCATTCACGGTGATCCGTGGCCGAGAACGAATTTGACATATAGGTGAGTTGATACGTTCACTATAGATCTCGACGCAATTATGAAGCATGCGTGGCCTCGCGATCACTAGGTACACAAATGACTAGCTCTCGCGTCGCGTCCCGAAAGTCCTAGTCTGGCCGGATCAAGAAATCGATCCCTTTCACGCACCGAATTTTGGCGGCGAGACTGTGAATCCCGATCTGAAACTAATTCGGAGTCTGTCCTGTAACCTCCGGAACGACAGACTGTATTGGCCAAACATCCGACCGGATCCGGAGTAGCCGGTCGGTGTTGGAAGAACGAAACGAGCTTTCCGACGGAGAAGCGACCGACAAAAAGATCAAACACTGTGTCTGGTCACAAAAACGCGGAGGCCCCATGTGAAATAGGATACGCCAGCGATGACACGCCTTCGTAATCGTTCGGATGGTGGACGTCCATCTCGTTACGAAGGCCTCCTCTTCCAAGACGCCAAGAGTGCTTCTCTCAGATGCTTCTCTCTCTCCGACTCTTTTCCTTGATTAGCCTTCAATGTCGATCCTCGCGTGGCGTTGACAGTTGCTCGCCAGCTTCGCCGTCCCCGGCTCGACCAGCGGTCCTTCCGAGTTTTTCTTGCTCGTCCGAGGAGCCGAGCTTTCGCGTGGACTCGATGAGCTAGCCGAGGGTCACGTAGAAATACGGAAGCTGGGCAAGGCTCTGCGTGTCCAGGAGAAGGTCGGGATTCGATCCCTGAGGAGGTTGGCTCGAGAGGATAAAGATTCTGAATGCCGCATCGGATGCACGTTTACGTAGTGGGGCTCTAATAAAATAGTGAGGTACTTCGGATCAACGATTTTGTGGAAGACCGAATTTTGAACCGACTGGGACGCCGACCGCCCTCTATGATGTTCAGTCATAGGATCGGTTTCGCGAGCAGCGGGAAAGGCTTGAGCGTTCCAATCAGGGAACATACTGGAAGTGACCCGAGAGGGAGGAAGACGGCTTTTCCGGCCCATAAGTCAGCGGTCCACGTAATCATCGCCAGTGTGCGCGTAAGCGTCCAACGCCGGTGGCTGGATCGGTCTCTCTCTATCTATTAGTCCGGTCAGAGGCGTTTATTGGTCTATGAGAGCAAATTGTTAGAACTGACGAGCGACCGATTGTGTGTACGCTCTAATGTTCCATCGTCGCTTCCAACGCGAAGAAATACCCTCCCCCGTCGACGACCCTCACCGCTCGAACCGCCGCCGTCTCTGGCGTTTTCACTAGAGGCCAGGATGCCGGCAGTCCTGTACCGTATGATCGTTGATGAGTGCGTGTCGCGAGGACCGGTGGTCTTGCACTACCGTCGCCAAGCGAGCGTCGTTTCTCAATGCGCTCCGTGGAACAGTTGGCCGCGTGCCTGGGCTCGCTGAGCTTCTCCGACTAGTGGAAGAAATGTTCGATCTCCGGGAGGTGCCCCGCCAGTTCCATCTCGGTCGTTTGAATGGGAACTTGCAGTGAGTCCCGAGATCGGTCCACATCGGAATCCTCTGTTGAAACTCCTACCGTACCCAAATACGTTGAATTTCTCCCCTCAGAGCCGAGGTCTTGACTCCGGACCTTATTCCTTGCTCGCCTCCCTTCTCCCTCCGATCCCGATCTTGATTTCCGTCCGGGAATCCTCCCCGTCCCTGTTCCCCTCATCGTACTCGTGCTCGTCACGCTTCGTATCTCGTCCTCGCCGGTCGAGTCCATCGACCTTATTTTTGGTTGGAGACGGGACCGATCTGAACGGAGACGGCGATCGTTGAACTTTGTTCGCGGGAAAACTCGGAAGGTTTTTAGGGTGACTTGCTCAACAAGGTCGGAGATGTACTTTCAAGCCATCACAACCTCCTTGAGTGAGTGGTCCTGAGAGCCGTCTTCCAACGAGCCTCGCGTAGCCTAACCCAAGAAAATCTGCAAGTCACTCGTATTTGAACGGCGACACATATTCTATTAGCTTTCCCCTGTCGCCAGGAATCGAGCGGGCTTCGCACATTCGTTTGTACGGCGCCTTTTGTTCTCGCTCGCTTTTCCTGAGCGCAGCCTCCGTTGAAAGTGATTCAGCGTGTCCGTCGGGAAATCATCCTTGATGAGACAGACGCACCGATGATTCAGACGAGGAGGAAAAACGTTCCTCGCGCTGCCTCAGGCAGGCGTGCGGTCACGGGGGATGGGCGCGCAGATATCGCAGTTCGGCAAGTCTGATGTTCGAAGTCGTAGGACCTACGACGAAGATGTTCCTGCCGACTGCCAAGATCAGGTGTGCTGATGATTCGAGCGGAATAAAATTTTCATGAGCTTGAACAGGGAAGAAATTCATTGCATGAAAGTCGGAAAGTCAATTCCTTCCGAGTATATCGCCAAATTATTCTCAAGCGGAACCTAGTGGATCCTTCGTGCCGCGACATGTTTGCTCTTGATTCTTTACGGAGTTTCGCAGCGTCAATGGTTTGAGTTCGAGCACGGAGACTCGTCGCGTGGGTGCGGACGATCCATTTATATCCTGTTCCACAACGGTACTTGCTTGGCCAGGGATAACGATTTTGGAACCACGCGCGGAGTACCGAACATCATCGCCTTGACGTATACGGTATTGCTCCGCATCCTTGGGTCATACTGTCTCTGCCGCAGGGTCATTTCTCTCACTTGGAGAAGAATGGAGGGTTCATTCGAGAAGGGTTAGAATGAGTCCAGCTGAAAGTATATTCTCGGCGGCTCAGTCGCACCGGGAGATATACTGGGCACGGGAATGAGGCGCGATTCGCGAGGATTTTTCACGGAGTTCGAGGCTGTGGAGAAGGCAAATATGCCAAAGCATAAGATTCCGCATGAATCTCGCTGAAAACAAAGATTCGGATCATAGACTCGCCAGTTGACCATGGTTCGCTTGGATAACTGATTTAAGGGTTTCCTCATATCAACTATCATCTTGAGAGTCTGTGATCGCTCAGTCCAGCACAGCTATTCGGATAGTACAGAATACCGAAAATCGGCCTTGCTAGATGATTCCGGTTGGATAGATTGAGAGCCCCTCGTTTACGAGCATTAGCTGTATGTATGAAGATGCAGCATCCGTCCCTCCAGAAAGAAATCAGTTTTCACTGCTGAGAGGAGCATGAGTCCTCTGCCGATCAGGGAGGGTCTCTCCTGATTGTCGATCCTTCGCCAGAACGCTCGAGCAGACAAGCGATCCAGAGCAGTATGCAGTTGGCTTTAATACGGCAACTGGATACGCACATGATCCTCACGCTAGCGGAATCCTCTCCCATCTACTCCGCGAGATCGGGAATCAGACTCCTCGCACTGCGAATAGACTGTATGCTTAGACTCCGCGAAAATACTCTGCACTACATTCAAATCAAATCCCATCGCGTGATGTCCCATAGTCCAATCTGCATGAAATCTGGATGTCTCGCTCCGAATACTTGAATCGGAAGCTCACATGACGTAAGTCAAATCTCGAGTGAGGACTCCATATCACGAGAGCCGCAGATGCGTATCCGGTCGGAGATGATCGTTGAGAGCCGGCACTGGGAGCGGAGCCTGGAGAGCATCCCTCTCTCTCTCGCGCGTTGCTAGCTCTGTGCATCGAACGCTTAAGTTCTCATCGATCGGCACTATAGGGACCTGGAGGATCTCAATAATAATAGAATTTTTCTTTTTTCTAGCATTTCGGATTGGCCCACGAATCTCGATGCGAACTTTATCAGATCCAAACTTGGACGGGTAAGATCTCAGACCCCTTTCTTGTTTCTCCGATCGAAGCGAGCTCCGGGGGGTTTCATTTCACCGAGGAAATTATGCACTAGACGCAGATCAACACAATCGAGCAACTGTGAAGAACATTCAATTATTCGCTCCAGCATCCCCCTGTAGAGAGTGAGAGGGAAGGGGAATATTCCGAATAACCAAAGCATGATAGAGTTCATCGGGGGAAGCAGGTCGGAATTCGACTCCCCTCAAAAAAAAATCCCACCACTCGAGAGTAATGAACCCTCGGGAGCTCGTTCGACAGTGATTGCATTCCGCGATTAATCTTCCTGTTCCACCTTTGCTCGAATCTAGGCTATCAGGGTGTGGTCGAAACATTCGAAGCTCGTGTTCACTGAGACCAGAGACCCCAACGCGGACATTGTCATCAAATTCCTGCGGGTGAGTCCCCATGACGCCACTCATCGGGAATATTAGCTTCTCGGTCCATCCACACGGTGCGACACATCCATATTCTACTGCATCCAGAACGTGTTGCAGAAGATGAGATCTGATGGAGAGCTAGCATCTGAGTACTCTAGGAGTCAGAGATTTCCGCCACGTTCTTTTTCTCCGGCGAGGACCCTTCCCCATGCCCGCACCCCCAAACGCGCAGCTGAATCAAGTTCTCCTACTTGACTCTACCGCTCTCAGCCTCGGAGACCTTTGATATGGCTTTGATGTTCACGATGGAAACTTACGAGGAGCCTCTAATTGCAGGGCCGACATGGAGATGCATATCCTTTCGACGGGCCAGGGATGGTTTTAGCGCATGCGTACTTCCCTGGGACAGAGATCGGGGGCGACGTTCACTTCGACGCTGACGAGAACTGGGGCAGCAAGATGGCTACTACCGGTTCGTACTTCCGCGACTCGGAAGAAACTCAGATCCTTCACCGTCACGTCCCTTCGGATATATCGCTCTATCCTCACTTTGAGCACCGATTCCAGGAGTGGAACTGTTCGTGGCCGCTGCGCATGAATTCGGTCATTCCTTGGGACTCGCTCACGTGCAAGAGCCTTCTTCGCTCATGTATCCTTGGTACCAACAGTTCACTGAGGATACGTTCCAGCTTCCGGAGGACGATGTCCGGGGGATCCAGCGACTCTACGGTAACCTTTAGCAGCGAGAGCATTTTCACTAATATTGATCTCTGATGGTTTCTTCCTCACCGGGGACCCGTCATCATCTGCCTTGGGAATTCATTCGAGGTCACAAGCTCTGTTGTCCCGACAGGCCGTCCCGATCGACCGGACTATAAACCTCGATTCTTCGTTACGACCCGACGGCCGTTCTTTACAACATCAACATCCAGACGCCCGGACGTGTTTCTCAGCCCCCAGGAACAACCTCCTGACCCTTGTCAGATGGATTCAATTGATTCCATATCGATGATCCGCGGCGAAACTTTTATCTTCAAAGGTGATCACGATATACGATATTTCATTGGAAAATTTCTCAGTAGTTCCTCAATTGTGATATGCGCTGCTGAAGAGCGACCCGTTGCTGAGCGCCTCATTTTCCCCAGGCAAGTATTTCTTCCGCCTCGATAACGAGCTCCAAATAATGGGGTCGCATGCCTTCGAAATCAGCCGATTGTTCGGTGGATTCCCAACGGTCTCCAACAACGGAGCCGAGGTCAGAGTGGACGCCGTCTATGAGAGCCGGCGCGGCGAGATCAATTTCTTCATTGGAAGGGTGAGCAGGAATCGGCCGCTATGATTCAGAAATGTCATGCCATACATGCAGTGCATCAATAATCCTAATCATCGTTCCTCGCTCCCAGGAAATCTATGTTTACAACGGACAAAACCTCATGCCCGGATATCCGAAGCCATTGTCATCGATTGGCATACCCGACAGTGTGATGCAGATCGATGCTGCTTTCATCTGGGGCTATAATCAGAAGATCTACCTCTTTCACAACGACCAATACTGGAGATACAATGAACAAGAACGAATGGTACACCTACTCCCGAGCCGGAAATGAGAGTCGAATTTGAACCCTTCGTCTTTTTCTGGTTTCCCGGTGGTCATGTCGAACTCCACTGATTTTCACTTTCGTTCCCAGGTGGAAGCGGACTATCCGAGGCACATACAGATGTGGGGTGGCGTACCCCCGAGGATCGACGCCGCTTTCACTTGGACCGATCGTAAGTCCCTTGGTCATGTATCCGCGATAATTCACGCAAATAATCAGCGCGGCCCCATCCTCAGACTGCGTTGCTCACCATCTGCTTCCTCTTACAGAATCAACTTATTTCTTCAAGAGTCGGAGCTTCTGGCGTTTCCACAATCGACGGCTGACAGTCTTTAATGATTCGGGATCAATCGCCCAGTTTTGGTTCGGGTGTCAAAATTCTTCACCAAGTAGCACCTTCATCTCGCCACTGCACACGTTCTCGGCATTGCTACTGATCGTATTTTACAACCAATTCTTGTTCGAATCTCGACTGTTCAGATCGACGTCAGAAGCGTTATGATGGAATGATCCCATTGGGCACATTGAAGCTCCTTTTCAGTGAGATCAAGAGTACTTAAATCAGTTCAATGTTCGAGGATCCTCATCGAATGTATCTCTATATCGAGTTCGATTCGGATCTTCAGAGAAGACCGCTGGCGAGGTTCTCATCGAAGTTATACCGTTTCTCGGAACGGTTTGTCCGCATTCCAACGTCCAGTCTCCGAACTCCATCCTCTTATCTCTGGGAGGAGCGTCTGGATTGCGATGAAAACCTCCGGAACTGAGATTTACGAATCTCAAGTCAGAAACAGCTGGATCCCCAGATCACTCATCGGAACTTAATCAGAAAGAGGAACGTCCATCGGAGATTTATGAGAGAAGGGTCCAGCTAGTTATGTAACTCTCGAATACATTAATGAACCAGATTCAACTTCTGGAAACCTGGCGGTTTGATGAGCGAAGCATTTCCATCTATACAACTTAAGTACTAGGGTAGCGGCCCACGTTGGGCCGACGCACAACTCGTTAAACCTTTTACTATCATGTCGACGGTCCGATTTACTCATGTCTGTCAGAAAATTCATCGTGCCTTCCCTCAGACGGATCTGAAGGAATTCTTAACTGTGGTTGTGCGCGGAGATTATTCCGAGATTGGAGTGGACTCGAAAAGTGATGTTTCTTCCGTGGCTCCTTGTGGTAAGAGCTGGAATTCATTTGCATTGAGTCGTGTCTGATTATTCGGAAGCGGTGTGCAAATCGTCAGATATTACACAACACGAACAACAGAGTACGAGCAAATGTATATACATAGTTGTCATGGTACATTTTCACGCGAGTTTGAAGGCTAGTTTCATATAGGTGTATTTAGCAGTAGGGAATAAATGAGAGACATTGTATAGAAAAAAAAAATTCCAAAAACATAATCTCAACAAGGCCTCTTCATTCATGACATAGCACCCAAACCAGGATGATTCTTCTGATCCTTCCGTGTTTTTTTTCTGTAAGAGTAAGTTACTGAGAGTAGGAGTCCATGTCTTGGGCTTGGCTTGGAAAATCACCGGCGAGATAGTTTCCCATGCCCCGGAATCCCGACCATCTTGGGCCGGGAGGTCACCGGAATGGGGAATTGTCGCACAAGACGAGGTATGCAACAGACATATGCATTTAGAATATTCTCGGACAATGTCGCCGCACCGAGACATCCAAGAGCGCTGAGCACGAGATTCGACGCGCTGGATTTCCAACTCCGAAGATCTGAGCCGACGGGGAATCGCTCGAAGCTCTGATTCGGAGCCTCGATGAAATGGGGACGAGCCCGGATCGATCAATCCATTCACTCACTCGGATTCCAGCGGCATGGCGGGAGATCTGCCTGGAAGACCTGGCACGTCCTATCCTTGTTACAAAAGATCCGAAGGTGATTCTCGACCTCGCCGAATTCATGTCATCAATATATCCAGCTATTCGGATACTTCCGCGATATCCCACATTGTGACATGAAGTCGGGCAATTCCAGATGAGTGTTTACACATTCAAGCGCTTGGACTCATAATCTGTAGCAAGATGGCGGACGCTCTCCTCGGACATCCATCAGGGTGAGCATTTCCGCTTCAACCAGAAGTTGGGAAACCTCGGGTTCGACGATGGGGCCAGAGACGGGATTGGGAGAACTCTTAAACGGCACAGATACAATGTTCTCGAAGACGACCCAGAGCGTACATGACTGGGCCTCGCATTCCGAGGAGGTCGGGCTCATATCTACATAGTACAACTTCAGTTTTATTTCCGCCAAGACGGAGCTCGGTACCGCGTCATGCGAACTCCGAGTATCTAATTAGGGCATGATCCAAGGGGGTTGGAAGACGAATGAGCGCCCTTCATATATAATTCTCACTTGATACTTGTAGTGAGCCGACTATCCCCTGGGAAGATTGCCCAGTCGCAGTACAGAGCACGGCACTATTTCGAGATCTAATCTGGGCGAATCTATCGCGTCAGAGAGAATCTGGTCAGCCTTGGCGTCCCGCAAGAGTTCGGCCAAACGCTTCTGGTTGATCGATAGGACTATGTCGCCGGTGAACATATTCGAATCTTCTCCACACTTTTGCCATATGAGATCGTGGCTCGATACCAAACAACAGGGCTCCCAGTTCTCGTTCGCAAAAAGTTTTCGCACGCACAGCTCGAATCCGTGATAGTGACGGCGGCGGCAGAAACAGCCAACTCGACGTTTTCGACGTGAACGGAAATTCAAGACGATAGCTCGGTGAACGTTTGCGTAATTTTCCACGTTCAGAGTTGCTTCTCCGAGATCTCGGAACGGGTTCCTCTGCGCCACGGTGGCTACGAGCGGGGAGCCCACTTTCAGCAGCAAAGTCTGAATCCGGCCGAGAGGCAGACCGGTCAACGGGATCCGGTCAAGCTCCAACAGCAGGTCACCTTGATACAAGGCTGTCTCGCTCAGGAACTTCACTCCGGGTGCAATGCTCGCCACCATGAAGCGGTACATTCCATCCTCGCAGAGCAAACGCTGGACTGCCAGAGGCGGTACTCGGCGGAGACAGCTTTTCCGATAGAATTCCTGGATGATCACCTGTACAGGTTCTCTCGCGTTATGTTTCCGATCGTCGAATGTTGTTGTGCCGCAGGTCGTGTCTTCGGCCTGTTTCACCAGCTGCTGGCAGTGTCGAAAACTCAGCGTGTCGTCCTTGATCTCTTTCCCCTCGTCGAAGTCCCTGCTGTGTCCCCCTGTTTCCGACATGAGATGCCGGATGACACGAGATGAGAACGTGAAGAGTTTTTGATGTTCGCCCGCGTAGTCTACGAGATCCTCCAAGGCAAATATTTGACTATGAGCCGGCGGAGCTGGAAAGTAAAGGTATGAGCTCTAGAATGTGTTTGAAGCAGAAGGCGACGAGAAATTTTTTGGGCGCATAGCGACTTCTCTTGAGAACATTTCGCAGACCTTTGGCCACAACGCGCGATTCCCTGTCTTTCGCAGCGAAGAGATTCTCCATGTCTTCTGTGAGAGCGACCGAGCTCGGCAATGATCTCCAATTCGTTTCAGCGAAAGTTCGATGGTCGAAAATGTCGTTGTAGTCTCTGGAGCCGAGCCGTTTCTTCGGGTCCTTGACCAGCAGCTGAGATATCAATTCTTTCAGGCCGCTTTTTTTCGGAGTCGCCGGTGGGAGGTTCTTGATCCTCGTCCATTCAATGTCGCAATCCACGATCTCTTCGGCGATGGCTTGACCCCGAAACGGAAGTCTGCCGAACGCCAATCGGAAGAGTACGACGCCCACCGACCAGAAGTCGGAAGCTCGGCCGAACTCCTTGCATTGATGGACCTCAGGCGCCATGTAGGCTTCGGTCCCGGCTTTGTCGCCCCCTGCGCACTCAGCAGCTGTTCTTGCGAAGAAAGAGATCTGGTGCTGAGTGCCGGACAGAGCAATGCATAACTTGTTCACGTCAAAATCGATGACCTTCACACGGCCGTCGCGGCTCAGGAGGATGTTCGCCAATTTTATGTCCCGGTGAACGAACCCGGTGAAATGCATGTGCTCGATAGCCATGAGCAATTGCTGCGTGATGCTCATCACGGTGGAAAAACTCGGCGCTTGAACGCGGGTTACGAGCTCAGTGATATCTGCGCCGTCAATGGCTTCCATCACGTTGATCGAAACCGCCACCCCCGAAGGATTCGCCTTACCGCTCGCCATGAACGCGCAAAACATCCTACAGATGAACGGGTGGTTCGGGACCACAGCTGCGAGCATTTTGTCGATATAGGCGGACTCGTTGTTCGAATCGAAACGTAGCTTGCTCTGCGGCACGATCTTTATCGCCACTTCCAGAATGTCTTTGAATGTCCCCTTATAAACAGCTCCGAAAGCTCCGCGACCTAAGGTCTTTGTGACGGTGAGGTCATCGAGTGACGGCACGAATGAGGTCTTATGTTTCACTTCCGAACTCTTCCTTTTCATTGCCGATCTCTGCTTTAGGGCGCTCACGATGCTCGACCAATTCACCGGTGGCAGACCCGAGGCGTCGGCCAGCTGGCGATCAAGCTCATCGAGCATCGCGATCAGCTTCACCAGCTGCGCGCAGACGGGCTCTGCTGTTTCGGGATAAGATTTTCCGACCGTGTTCCCGAGCGATACGAGGTTCATGATGTTCTCCCTGAGAATGACCGCTTTCAATGTGCGTTTTTGTATCTGTCTGCAGACGTCCTGAAATCCAAGGAAGCACTGACGAAGACAGTATTGGAGCGGAGGGCTTCGGTCCAAACATTTCGAACTCTCGAACTCTTGCGTGTATAAGTTCAAAAACGCTATGGGAGCCTCAAGCAAGGCGGGATTCTTATCCGCGAGGATTTTGATCGCTCTTCGGACTTTTTTCGGTGCCGGCACTAAAGGCTCAGAGTCATCCGACGCACTGCGTCTCATGCTTAGCCTTCCAGGGTCATGCAGCCATTCAAGAGCGTAGCGATCGGAGGAAACGCCTAAAGGTCATAGAACACCCGGAGTCACTCTGACTGCGCCGGTCTTCCATCAACAAACGAAATCCGGAGACGACAACGAGAGCTGTTGTAGAGAGGAAATTATCCCGAGGGTGAGGATCCGATTCCTCTTATCTGCGGGGAGAAGCGAATCTTCGGCCCTGTCTCCAACGCTCGATCCCCTTCGACTAAACGGTCGAGATGGGGAAGTGGATAATGAGCCAGGGAAAGGTCCGCGCGAGAAACATGGAATGTTCAGCATCAAGCTTCGGCATTGCACTTGAAGTCTCTGCATCGCTCAATTTGTTGAGCTAACGACGAAGCGTGACTTCGAACAGCAAGTTTGTCTCGAGCCCCTCTGATCTGAGTCATATGCCTCTTGATTTCCAAGGCGAAAGGGGAAATTGAACAATGTTTCGGAAACTCTGTTCGAATCCGACCCGTCAACGCCTCGCTTCGTTGACGCCTCAAGATAAGAGAAACAACTGATTGAGAGAAGGGAATTCAATTCACTTGATCTTCCGACGAAGCGCAAACAAGTCACTGTCTCTCCTCGTTTTTCGCTGTGCGCGCCGCGCCGGCGGAGAATGGAAACAGGGTATCGCGCTCGGCGGCAAGGACTCGTGAGGAATCCGAGTCGGCCGTGGACAAGCTTCGGCGACGCCGGAGAAGTCGAATCTTCGCTCCACGTGTGTCTAAACAACAGAGTCAGCATCCTGAATGAAATACAAATGCGAACATCGAAGGTCTCCCCCGAGGAAGCTGGTGGATCCGGGCTGCGGAGATCGACTCGGACCCTACAGTGCCGTGTGATATATGTATATATTCTGGCTTCCGGTTCCCCGAAGTTGGATTTGAATTATTATTGAGTTCGCGCCGAAAAATATCACACAGTAGACGCACGACCGCTATAACAGAAGCAAATCAGTCTCTGTTCCATTACCGTCGCTGAGACTACGCTGAGAATTGCAAGTTTTCGGTCCTATCTCCTATCACAAGTCTATCCCCAGTTTATCCTGAGTGATACCCGATTTGAATTGCAGAACGCGGAGCTCGCAGAAAGAGAGAGCGCTTGCGTTCCACCGAACGCTCAGGAGCTACGGCTCTCTGAGAGGTACCCTGGGACAATGATCCCGAGATAAGTCGGGAGACCTTGTAACTGCGACCAGAAGGAGCGATCGTTGAGATCAGATGTTGAAGATCCGAATTTTGTCGCGTGCGCTTTGGGATCGCTTTCCTCCATCATCCGGAAGTCATCTGCCAGACAGTGAAATTCTTCTCTTGACGTCGAATCACATAAAAAGGCAATTCGTGACGGTGTAGAAACCGCGTCAGGTTATTTCTTTATCGCATTCCTTGTGGAGCTGTTACTCAACCTATACCAGAGCCAGCCCGCGTTTCTCACATCAGTCTCATTTTCGGGAGAGATAATGATGATGTGAAGATAATAATCGACGCTTTTGAGGAGACATCATGGAAACCTGAAGGCCTCGACCCCGAAGTTTTATTATATAATTTGGTATTGGACGTCGCTCTGAGGATCGGAACGGCTCGACAAGAGCGATCTGCGAATTTTCTGAAAATGGAACCCAGCCGAACTAGGATCGTTTCAAGCTCTGCTCTTTCAAAGGCAAACTTGGGACGAACTACCCTTCCGGGCAAGTTGCGAGATCTGCCAAGGAATCCTTCTGAGCGCTCTCGAACTTACTTTCCAGGAGATCTCCGAGTGAAGGGCTCTCAGTTCGCCCTCTCGTGCGACTGGTTCTCCCTCTTGACGAGTGATGGGGTTCGTAAAACTCTAGCATTCGCTATTCCATAGGACAGAACTCATCGATTGCATCAAAATCTCAATTTTCGGCGTTTTCCGCGGTCTTCATCGCTGTCAGATTTTTCGAGGACGGCTTGGACCTTCTGAGAACTCAGGTGACAGATTTAGCCAGGAACCCTCACAGGTGCAACGAAGGAGCAGAAATTCACCCGTTGGCAGGTCTAGCGGATCACCGGCCCCCAGAATGCAGGCAAAATGGAATAAGCTTCCCCGTTGTCTTCATGCCGAATGGGATCAACCAGATCAGCTCAGATCGCCGTCACCCCGACTTCCCCTCCTCGAATTCTCTGGGAACTCCGACAGCGTTTACGTCGCAATATCCCGCGAAATGCGTCCGAGGGAACGTCCCATGTCCCTGGTATTCCCGAGAGAATGGTCGAACGGCCGGCTGTCAATGAAGATCCGGTGACCTGAGTTCGGGAGGGATGCGCGGAGTGACAGGAGCTTGTAGAAGATCCGAGGCTAAGGCTTTGTCTTCCGCTTTGTTAAATTGATATTCACTCTTCCCAAAAAATGTCCACTGTCTGGCTAGGTTCCGCCCCTTCCCAGAGTCAGGATCGCCTTTGGAAATGTAAGACCCAGATGAGGTTTCACAGGCGAAGGGTAGAATCTTATCGTTCCATGTTGGTGAATAGAAGACTTGTTGTAGAGGCGCGTCTCCGAGAATACGATGCGACGACCTGTCGCATCGAGATATCAAATTGCTCATCCCGTTCATTAGCCCGGGCAAAGCGATAGCTGCGGTGTTAGGTGTTGGTCACAGCACGATGCGCGAATAATGATACATGATCATGAGACTCATCCATGTAGAAAGTCAGCTCTCGATGTATTCTCTCGAAAGATCAGGCAGCCCGAGCATCTTCCACCGCGTTTTCTTTCTCTGTCGCTTCCCCCCCCAAATGTTCGCTTCGAGAGCTTTCGAGTTGACTTCGCTGTTGGGCAGACCTTGTTCCCTCGACAGGGAGACGCCGCTCTGATATAGAGACTTGTCCCTCGCTCCGTATTGAGAAACCTTAATTCAGGTCTTTGTTCTTTCGTCCGAATTCTTGAAGCAGGATCGCTCAACATCAAAAGAGAAGTTCCTCATGGCGCCGGGGAGTCGGAGATAGCGACTTGATTGAAAAAAATTCTTGCGACCTTCAGCAACAGTGCCATTGTTGTGCCAGAGGATGAACGCAAGAGATAATCTGACGTGAATCCCAGTCGACAAGTGCTGTCACGACGCACCCGATCAGCGGAGTGTGGGTCCCCGTCCAATGGCCGGGGCAATCGATGTTCGGCGCGGACGTTGACGCAGGGCCCTTCAAAAAGGCGCAACCTTCGTCAAAGGAGGTGTACAAATTCTAGGCTGGGCACCATTGTGCCCAGGAAATTTCCGCTGAATTTGCTTCCCACTATCGTGTTCGGTGCCTCTCGGCAAATTATGTTTACATTGGTGATGGGCGGCTTGCTCGCGACTGATCAATAATTCCCCCCGAGAAGTTTGTGAGGAATCCCAAATAACAGGTTCTGATATTGCGTTCGTATCATTTCTTTCTGATAGCGACCTACTCGGCGGGGTTCGTGGCTTCGAAGAGGCGTTCCCGACTCGCCTGGCAGAATCTCCCAGAGGAAAATTCCCGCTGAGAGCCCTTGAGTGGCTTCCGCAAAACATCGAGCTTGAGACTCCCGCCGGGTCTATACTTTCGCGGAGCTCTGACTCTGGCGAGCTCAAACAGCAATAATTTACAGCTCTTCCGAGTATTGTACGGAAGCTGGTCCCGACAGAAAAGCGGCCGAAGTCGGGGAGATGACGTATATTGGTCTGCCTGGGTTTATCTGATAATCTCAAAGAATCCACGATACGATCGTTGTCGAGCGTGTTGTCCCTCACCCGAATTCGATCCGATTCGGTGGTATGATTCCGTTGAAGACGGCCGTGGCTTTAGAATGTCGATCATTGATTAAGTGTTCCACGAAATGCGATCGATTCGCTTGAAAACGATTGCACGAATAATATCATAACTTACATTTCTGTGACAGAGATGAATGGGTCCGAGAAGGACGAAGAACGTCGAGCACGAGTCACCAATCTCCTGAGCTGAACCTAGTGCGAGCCGGGCTACCTGATATCTCGTTGGGATTTTCCGAGGAACGCTCTCATCGTTACACGAGGGGCAACAACACCTAGCGTAGAAAGAAAGAATGGAGCTCTTCTCTCCGAGACTCGCAGCATCGAGAGGTAATCAAACTTTGATGCTGATGATCATTTTCAGTAATCTGACTCATCAAACGGCCGCATCTCCCAGAACGAATCCACGATTGGCAAGGCCGCAGAGCACCGTAAAACTTTCTGGAATGAAATCTGTCGTACGATGAGGCATAAAAGTTTTCAGAGCGATATACACGACATATGCCTCCATCTATCGAATATTTTGCTCTCGAGCTTGGGCTCTACCTCACTTTATTGATTAGTGAGAATCAATAAATCGGGTCGCTCTGGCATTCAGCGCGTGAGTCGCGGCTCCACGGCTTGCACAGGGCTCGGGCCGTCGAAACTAGAAACGTTGGCTCGGGCTCTCCACATCGGCGCTGTAGCAAGAGTCATGGGAGCAATATATTGAGTAACAGAGGGGAGAACAAACGCGATCGACAGGGAAAGCTCACTCGAAACAAGTTCCTCCGAATGGCAGTTGCCATGAGATTCCCCAGATTGACTTGAATGAGGAGCCAGATGCCTCCTGATCAAGAGGCGAAGCGTTGGACCGCATGCTCGTGCTCATTGAACAACGTCGACGAGGAGCGGGGCTTCTGGTGCTAATTAAACACAGCTCCTTTCATGCATGCACATCATACCTATCGAGGTCGGATCCAATAAGATATTCGAGACGAGAGATTGCAATGCGATTTCCAAATCGGCTCTATCCCACGAATTTCTATGATTGGAAATAGATTCTCAGACTCATTGATCCCAGGGGAGCTTCATAAAATCACTCGTGAAGAAATTGTGACTCGAGGACCCGATTCGTTCAACTAGGCTCGGATTTCCGCATCGGTATCCCAGGTTCGACCAGAACCGCGCTAGAAGTTATATGTATAGCCAGGGATGATGATCAATAAGTCAGCGACTCGGGAAACAT